CCCCCCCCGCCCGGGAGCGGCTCCCGGGGAGAACCGGGCGTGGGGGTCCCGGGAACAGCGGGAAGGGGGGAGCCGGGAGCACCTGGCTGCGGAAGAGCCGGGAGCGCCGGCACCGAGAGCACTCGGACACCGGGAATGGGGGAGTCGGGAGAACCCCTGGGCACGAGGATGCCGGGAGGAACCGGGCACGGGGGATCCGGGAAAACCGGGCACGGGGATCCGGGAAGAACCTGGATACGGGGGTACTAGAGGCACCGGGCACGGGGATCCGGGAAGAAGCTGGATACGGGGGTCCCGGGGGCACCGGGCGCTGGGGGAGCTGAGCACCCTGCGCACGGGGCTGGGCATCCCGGTGGGGATCCGGGCACAGCCCGCGTAGGGGCACAGGGCACGGCTGGGCACAGGAATCGGGGCAGGGACCCCGGGGACAAGGGGTGGCTTTGCCCCAAACCTCCAGCACCCTGCTCTTGGCCTCTCCCAAACCCTTTTCTCCCCAGGAACCTGCTTGTCCCAGGGACGTTGCCCGCAGTGGGGCCGGGGGGTGATGCTGAAGCGTCCCCTCCAGGGCAGGAAGGTTTTGGGGTTTCCCACTCGCGATGGGGAGTCAGCTGAGCCGCCCTGACAATGCCACCGTGCCATGGGTCGTGAGCTTGTCCTGGCTCCTCTTGGAAGCACCAGCCAGGTTGTGCTTTCCCCTAGCTGGCATTTCTCCATCGGGCAGAGGTTTATCCCCGTCTCTGACTCAGAGGCACCTCAGCGGGTGTTGAGGCCCTGCCATCCATCTTCGTTACAGCAAGGCAGAGCAGTTCGTCACCGCATGCACTGGGACACTTGCGGAGCTGCTCGGCTTTGCTGGGTGGTTTTACCTCTCCAGACCCACCAGCGAGGAAAGTTTCTTTAACACCAGTGGTATGTTTAAAAAAAAATAATAATCCCCTTTTCCCATCCTTAGGCTGTCCACCCCCAGTATTTCCTCTGCCATGTTACAGCGGTGCTTATGCAGCAGTTAAACACACAGAAGGGGCTTTGGACACAGCTATGGGTTATGGGGACTTCAGGTGTGACGAGCTGTGCACAGTTCTCAGCCCTAATGCCAGAGCATGGCTGTTTGCAGATGTAGACCAGATTTCCTACACCAAATATCCTCCTTCCATATTTTGCAACACCTCCCATCCCCTTCCCTTCCCTGAATGCGAGCTGGAGCTTGAGGGTGGGTTTTGCAGCCGGGAGAAATGGCCTTTGCCAGCTTGCAGAGGTGGTGGATGCTTTTGAAACACATCCCTGATGAGGCGTGTGCCTCTGACCCGGCCGGGATGCTGCTGACTCCTTGGGTTATCAGGGAATTGCTGGTCCTGGGGATTGTTTCTGGCTGATCTTGAGTGGGTGGAAGAGCACTTCTGTTTCCTGGAGGAGAGGGCAGAGTGTTTGTTTGCACACAGGGCTTGTTCCCAGGAGAAATTTCCTCTTGGCACAAAAGGAAAATGTTAGGGGTTTTCCCCATTTATTTTTGAGGAAAATCCCTGCTTTCCTGGAAACTGGAGCAACTGGGGAAAACAGCTTCTGCCTTCAGCCAAAAGAAATCCCCAAATTCTTTGATTTTTTTTTTTTCCCCATATACACAAATCTTTCCTGCTTTCTCCCTTTAAGGCAAGACTCTGGATATGATCCTGCCTCGATAACGCCTTGCCTCCGCTCAGATGGCTTCTGTGCGGGGAAGAAAAGAGCCGTGTTCCCAGCCACAAAACCTCCCCGCTCCCAAGGAAACACTGTCCCTTTGTGCCCGTCACACAATCCAGCAAACCTTGCGCTGCTGAAAGAGGTTGAACTTTTGAATATTCCTACTGAAAGCTCCTTTCTGCGGGAAGCCAGCCGCCCACCGGGACAACAAACGGGCACATTGTGGGATCCTCGGGGCTGCTGGCCACCGCGGATGCAACACTTGCCATCGCTCTGCTCTGTCGCCACTGCCAAAGTCATTTCGCTTCCCTGAGCAAATCCTGGGGAGTTTTGTTTGGTTTTTTCCCCTCCTTGCAGCCCCAGTGCTGATGAATACACACTGGAATTTGGCTTTCTGCAGGCGTGGTGTGTTCAGACTGCAAATATCCCGCGTCCGGGGACATCATTGTCAGCGCCCTGTGGGTCTGCATCGCACTGGGACTGGGGTGTCCTCACCGCTGGGACCCTGCTTGCACCGCAGCTCCTCAGCCTCCTCCTCCTCTCGAGGAAGGCTCAGCTTGCTGCCCCTTGCTTCATCCAGGTGCATCCCCTTGCTGGGTTTCGGGAGGGCGTTGGGGTGCTGGAGGAGCTCGAGTGTGCGGCGTGGGAACAGTTTTTATTTTGCCCATTACTGCCAGGCTGCGGTTGGGACTTGGCGATAGGGGCTCTGGTTTGCACCACTTGGACCTGCTGGTGGTGGTGGGTGCTGCCCCTGCCAGGGCTGGGGACCGCAAGACCCTTGTTTCCAACCTTTCCCATGGGAGGGAGTTTCTCCCACTGGATGGCAGCATCAGAGCAAAGAAACATCTCTGGGAGACCTTGTGGGAGAGGGGACCTTCCTCCCGAGAGACTTTTCTCTGTGGTTATCACTCTCTGGGGCGGTTTGTGCTTGGGCTGAGGATGTGCAGGTTCAGCTCACTTGTGTTTGCACCATTCCTGCCACTGATGTTTTGCTTGCTGCCCTGTTTGGTGTTGGTGATCACTCCCAGCTCCCCAAAACAGGGTGTCATGTAGCACCCTCTGACTGCTCCTCTTCCTCCTGATGCTTGTGGGTGCAGGGGGACCTGACAGGACAGGGGGACTGAAAGCCAGCTGGGACACTCTAGCCCACTACCACGAGCAAAGCAGCCCCAAACTGAGCAAGGAGAAGAGATGTCAACACTCACAGGGCATCAAAATCATGGCTTCTAAGCAGGGTGCAACCATTATCCCCCCAAGCCCTCCCTGCTCCCATTGCTGGCGTGCAGAGCCCAAATCCAAGTCACAGACCCCAAAGGTTGCACGTTTTTGCATGAAAAAAACTTTAGGGACCATTTCTTGCATGGTGGTTGCAGAGGGGGCTACAAAACTCCTAGGGATCCTAGAACAAAGCTAATCTGGTCACTTTTCCTTCCACCTAATGGTTTTAATCCCAAGCTTTTCAACCCACCTTTAGGATTTTTTGGTGGTGGTGTTTGGCAGACGGGCTTGGGCAGTGCTGGGTGGGCAGGCAGGATTGGTGCTGGGTTGCAGATCCCTTGCACATATCATGCAGGGAAACTGCTCCTTTCCAAGGCTGTTTAATGGTCAGGAGGTGCAAGGATGTCTCGGTTTACAGGCTCCCGGCCGGGCTGGCATCGCTGTTTGCAAGCTGTCATCCATAGATGGAAAGGGTCGAGCACAGCGCCCAGCCTCAGGTGTAGCACGGGATCTTCCCCAGTGCCTCCCATACTGAGCCAGTGGCTTGTCCTGGGTTAAAATACCAGCTCAGGGCCATTTTGGCCTTGGGAGTGTTTCCGGGGTTAATCTCCTGCAGCGTGCAAAGCCTATGGCTGATTTTCAATCAGGATGCACCTGGTTTTGGCTCCCAGGTGCTTGCTGCCCCTTTTTCTGCTCAGTTCAAAGGGCTTCTCCCTCCTCTTTGTCCCACAGGCAGGGCAGAATTAGCCCTCAGCTGGGCTTGGAAAACTTGTGGCATGTTTGGACGCAGGTTGGTGGTACCTGGGTGCAACCTCCTGGGTGGCTTTTGCAAAGTCCTGGGCACCCCACCCTGAAGCAATGCGGTTCAGTGAACTGCCAGTGCCGGGGTGTTGGGGCCACTGGAGACTCGGGGCTGGGGTGATGGTGCTGGGGGTCATGGTGGCTTGTCCCAGGGAGCACAGGATGATGCTGGAGAGTGCTGAGGCAGCTGGTGGGGAGCTGGCTTTGCTACTTGATTAAAAAAAAAGGAGGAAAATGGGGATTTTCCAAGACGGGCTGAGCAGTCTGGGAAGGAGACAGCAAAGAAATCAGAGGGTCGGTCCTGCTCCTTGGGAGCATGGCGTGGGCACCCATGTGAGTGTGGGGGTCCCACAGCCCCACAGCCAGTGCTGACCCCAGACCTTGCTCTATCTCCTCCAAAGAACAAGAGGCACTTGCAGCTCAGTACAAACCCCAGGGGCTGGGGGGTACTGGGGTGGCAAGAGCCCCCCAGTTACACTGTTAGGGCTGCAAACCACGACCCCAAACTGATCATGAACCCAAGGAGCTCTGTAAGATTTGCTAATCTCGAAATATTTTTGGCATTCAGAACCGTGATTTACTGCATGTTTTGCCACAGCAAGTACTTTCCGAAAGGCCATGCTAAGTTTACACCAGAGCTGACAGGATCAGATAACCTGTTGCTGGCTGCTCCCTCCATCCTCCCCCCATCCCTCCTGGTTGCCATGCTGGGGTGCAGAAGGACAGCAGCTTCTCCTGTGCCCCACAGGGAAGAGGTGGCCATGGTCATGAGCAGCAGAAAAAAGGGACCAAGGGCATTTTTCCTCATCTAGGTGGTGGGGTGGGATGTGGGTCGTGGCCTGGCTTGCAGGAAGATGTGAACTTGTGGAGAGCCTTGACACTTTGCTTTGCAAGACACATTGCCAGGGACAGAAAATAACCATCCGTGGTGCCCAGCCTGGCTGTGTCCACCTCCCCAAGGGCTTTGCAGGTTGTAAAATTAAATCAGCTTCTCAGCTTCAGTGGCACCCAGGGCTGGGAAAGAGCTTTGCATGTCACTTTGCGTTCCTGCAGTATTTTAGCACCCCATGGGATCCCCGAGGGCTTTACAGGTGCCGGGCAGGAATGACGCCTCTCGTCACTATCACCCAGTAGGATCCCAGGGCATTTCCAGCCTGTGGGAAGTTTGGACTCTCTCCACATGTCGGCTGCGTTGTGGAGCAGGCAGTGGGACCCTCCATCCAGCTTTCTGTTTGCCGGGGAATTCCTCCTCCTTCCCAAGGGCCAGCACTTGGGAGACATGAGGCCCTCCCATCTCTCTCCCTTGTCCCCAGATCCCTTGGGATCTCTGCCACTTCCTAACCCCCAGGAGATGGGAATGAGCCCATCACATGGCATTCATGGCAAAAGCCACCACCAGCCTCAGCCCTGACCCTGACTGGCCCTTGGTCATGGCAGGCTGGTGGCCTTCCCCTGCAAAAATACGAGTGTCCTTCCTGCGTTGACGTGGACATGGGCAAGGAGGAGGAGGACGGAGCATCCTCAGCTCATGGCTGTTCCCTTGCAGGTTATTGGGTCAACAGATCAAAACCCATTTGCTCTGAGAGATGGCCCAGCTGTTCTGGAGGTGCTTTGGGGTGACGTTTCTTCCAGGGAAGGCACAGGGCTGTCCCACCATGCTGCATGGGGACAGCAGCCATGGGGCAGGGCAGGGACAAGCACCTGGATGCCCCAACCATGGCAACAGGCACCCTGTGGCAGGTCGAGCCCGTGCATCCAAAGCAGGGCTGGTCAAATCTGGCTGTGGGGACACTAAGGACCAGGCATAAAGGCAACAGCATCTTCCCAAAGCCTGGGGCAATCTCCCGAGGCTTTCAGATGGGCCCAGGGTGAGGACAGCCTGATTAAATGTCCCCATGATGCTCCCTGGTGGCAGCAGGGAAGGGTGCAGCTGGGCCACGGTTTGACAACCCCAAACTGGTTTGTCTTCCCAGTTTAGTGGGGCCTAGAGGGAGTCAGTGAGATTTGGGGATGGTCCAACCCCTCTCATAGCCCCTCCAGTCCTGCAAACTCTCCAGGGAGCGAGGCACAGCAGGGAGGCTCCAAACAAAGGCGCCTGGGTTAGAGAGGGACGTGGGGTGGGCCTGGGATGTGCTGCCCCGTTCAGGGAGCAAATCTCATTTGCTTCAGAGCATCCTGGGAAGTCACAGCCCTCTGCAAGGACCTCGAACATGGCAGGGTACAGGCAGCCCTTGGGGTACCAGCCGGCCTTGGGGACCTCCTTGGGATACCAGCTGCGCCATCCGAAGTGCAGCTGGTCCCAGTGCCACCAGGGCTGGGACAGGACATCACGCTGGTCCCCATCTGCTGAGATGCTTTCAGCCAGACAAGCTGTGGGCTGCTCTGGCTGTGGTGTCCTGCAGGGATGCTGCATGAGGTGGGGAGGAGGTTGGAGGGTGCAGATGGGAGCAGGGGATGGGGGGAGCAGAGGGAAAGGAGGCAGGAGGGGTGCAAGGGTTTAAGGCAAAGCGGGTGTGAAAATTAGGGAGGAGCTGGGAGGGAAGTGGAGACACCAGTCCCCGGTGCTGATCCCGCAGGAGGGACTGGAGGCTGGAGAGGAGCAGTGAAGGTGGCCTTAGTCCTTGAGCCCAGGGCTGAGCTACTTCCCTCCCCTTCTCTTGCAGAGCCTCCCAGCTCCCTGCTCACTGGCCCAAGGGTTGCCACAGCACCCCTCATGTGTAAATGTCCTGAATAAAATAGCAAAGGTGGCTTGCAACATTTTTGGTCTTTCTGAGCTTTTCTGGGCTCAGAACGCAGAAGGGAAAACTCAAGCTGCTGTTTGCAGCCTTTCCCTGCCCCAGAGTGGGACCAGGCAGGGCAGGTGATGACAGAGCCTTATTGGCATCCCCAGCTGCTGTCCCCAACCCTTGGTAGAGGTGACCCCCGGCAGGCTGAGCACAGCAGGGCTGGCACGGGCTCAGCCCCTGCGGGCTCTCTGCCTGCCCATCCTAGGTAAGCTCCTGCTGGCAGCCCCAGAGGTAAGGCAGGATTGGGAAAAAAAAAACACCAAAGTCAGAGCAATGCCCCGGGTTTGGCATTGCTTTGGGGAGCTGGAGAAGCAGAAGGTGACTGACGCAGTGCCAAGGTGTGTGAAGGCTTCTGCCGGCCCATCGTGTCCTGTCCCAGCCGGCCCCCGGGGCAGCTGCTGGAGGTCACCGCTCCTGCCCTGCAGAGCTGCTGCCCATCCAGGAGGGTGCTGCTCACCTCACGCCTTTGCTGCGGCATGCAAAGGCCCCATGAATGGTGCTTTGGCTGGGCGCAGTGGGTGATGCTGCTCCATGATGGTTTCCCCCCTGCAGTGCTGTCCCCAGACTGGAGGGGACACAGAGCTGGCACTGAGCTCCCTGGCTCAGCTCCCAGTGAGGCACTGGGCAAAATCGGGATATCCCTGCATGGGTTTCTCTTCTTCTCTCTTTGAACTCGGAAGAAAATTATCCCATCATAACCCCAAAATAACACCCCGAAGAGGCCATCAGTTCTGGCTGTCTGCATCCCTGAGTCCTGCCCGCATCGGGCAGCTCCTGATCC